ATCCGAGTTCTGCTCTCCACTCATCTGTGCCATGCCTGCGGTGGAATGCATTAATGCAATAAATGTTTTGAATTATGATAATTTAGTCGTTTTCCATTATTTTCATGCATCAATGAAATTCAGGTTCAGTAGGAAGGAATTGTGTTGATCAGGGAGATTGAATTGGTGGCAGATACTATATTAAGATACATGGATTTGGGAAGTGGGAACTGAGCCGTTGAAGATAGATATCTGTTGGAAAAAGCACCACCAGCACAGCTGGCTGTTGAGGAAGTGAAATGAATCTATTGAAAGGATTTGAAGCTGTATAAGAAAATGTACTTTTTGTACTTGGTCTTCATTTTTTCAAATTTATGAATGTGTATTGCATTAATGACCAGTATAAACATAAGACTACAGGTCAGCAACTACCAATTCCAATTCAAACCACTACCCACACTAGCCTAAACTGCCACTGACAGGCTGCTGAAGGAAGCGAGATGAACCTCGGCTGAAAAGTAGTAGTATAATGGTTTGCTAGTGCTTCAGCTATCCAGCAATTTTGCACAGAGGTCATAATATAACATCACCAGCATGGCAGAAAGTCTCAGTTATTCAAAATCTCCAACCACAAGGGGCGGAAAGTCTAAATTGCCCTGCTGCAGCTGGCTTGACAGAAGCATTAGCATCTCAAAGAGACAAAGTGACAAGGAGGGACAGGTGAAAAGCAACAGAAACCAAGACACTCAAACAAGAGGTCGCTTACACAGGACGTCAGCTGCCCGTACAAGAGAGACATATAAGGGAAATGTTAGGAATCCCCACTACTGCGACCTGCAGTCAGACACCAAGAGCTCAGCAGTGGGGCGCTCAGGAACAATCAATCCCCTTAGGAGCGCAAAATCCCATAGGACTTCTGACATGCACAGACACTCATCCACTATGCAGAGGGTGGATGCAGCGTCGCCAATATATGGATTTTTAAGCCCAAAGCATCGCCGGCCATTTTAAAGATGCGTCGCCGGGTAAGTTTTAATGAAAAGCCATTTATGCTGAGTAATGACGAACTATTTACAAGCCACAAACTTAGTTACAAGGTTGCATGCACCGTCGCCAATATATGGGTTTTTAAGCCCTAAGCGTTGCCGGGTAATTTTAAGATGCGTCGCCGGGTAAGTTTTAATGAAAAGCCATTTACGCTGAGTAATGAAAAACTATTTACAAGCCACGAACTTATTTACAAGGTTGCATGCACGGGTTACCCCAAATAACTAATTTTACCCTAAAAACAGTCCAATGTACAGCAAGTGTCAACTGAAAATGTGATAATGCAGTCTGACCACTCTAATGTGACCGCAACTAGGGTAAACGTGGTATATTCCAACATCGTGGGTAATTCCGTCACCTCTCTAGTTTTTCCTTTATATTACTTTGTTTTACTTCCATGCGTTTGTTGATGGTTGAAATGGTGACGTCATACATTTGTGCATTGAACTACTGCCAAAACACTAGGTCTTGGCCATCTAGCGGGAA